ATGCTGGGTTTTTGTCTCTTTTTGCAGGTGTATGCGAACTCGATCGAGTCGGTCTACAGAAGACTTGGTCGAGCTAGACTTACAACGGGTAGAAAGAGGGTTCAGAGGTCACAGAGGGTACAAGAGGAACCTGAGGTGCTTGTTGCTGATACAATGGATGTACCAGAGGGGAATGGAAACCCTTTGGGCAATGGACTCGGTCGAGCTAGGCAAACTCGACCGATTGGTCTAGGAGATGCTCCAAACCGCCACAACAGAGACAAGGGATTGTTCCACCACCAGTGCAGAACCACAACTTTGAGATCAAGCTGGGAATGATCAACCTTGTCAGAACAAGATGTTCCATGGATTGCCAAGTGAAGACCCCATTGACCACCTTGATGAGTTTGATAGGCTTTGTGATTTGACAAAGATCAATGGTGTCTCTGAAGATGCCATCAAGCTGAGACTCTTTCCTATGTCTCTAGCTGACAAAGCTCACCAATGGGAGAAGAGCTTGCCCCATGGCACAATCACCACTTGGGATGAATGCAAGAAGGCCTTTCTTGCTAAGTTTTTCTCCACCGGTCGCACAGCCAAGCTTAAGGAGAGATATCCAGCTTCATCCAGCGAACAATGAGACATTCGCAGAGGCTTGGGAGAGGTTCAAAGGCTACACAAGTCAGTGCCCACACCATGGATTCAACAATGAATCACTACTCTCTACTCTTTATAGAGGATGTTGGACACAGCCAGCAATGGGAACTTCCTCAACCAGGATGTAGATGATGGCTGGCAACTTGTGGAGAACATAGCTAACTCAAATGGAAGCTATGGAGAAGAGTATGATCGCACCAACCGGAGCTCGACCCACCACTCGATCGAGTCGATGAGAAATTGAGAAAAGATGTTAAGGCATTGAATGAGAAGTTGGATAAGCTGATCTTAGCTCAGTCCACAATGAAGAAAGTCAACTTTGTGTCTGCTGAAGAGATGGAACCAGTCCAAGAAGGGGAGGATACACAATTTGCTGAGGTGTGCTACATGAGCAATGGGCAAGGAGGTTACAACAAAGGATACTATAATTACAAGTCCAACCCTGCCATGTCATACCGCAACACTGATGTTGCTAACCCTCAGGACCAAGTCTATCCTCAACAACAAGCAGCTCGATCGAGTCAAGCCCCACAACATGGGTATGGTCAAAAGAACAATTACCAAGGACCCAAGGGACTTTCCCTGGACAACAAATGAATATCCACCAGGCTTTCCCCACCAACCACCCCAGCCTGCACCTTCAAGAGAATGAGCTCAAGGCAATGCTAAACAACTACTTCAAGGGCAAGCTGATGGTGTAGTGGACACAAGCAAGAAGCTAGCTGAAATAAACTCCAAGATCGAGAATCTCAACACAAGGGTTTACTCTCTGGAGAATCATGCTTCTTCTGTTGCTGCTGCTACAAAGCAAGGACAACTACCTGGTAAAGCTATTCAGAACCCCAAGGAACAGTGCAAGGTCATCTTCACTCAAGAAGGACTTGTTGAAGAAGAGGATCAAGAAAGTCATTGAAGATTTTTGTTTACTGCTGAATGATGAAGAGATTGTTGCTGCTGAGGCTCCTGGAGTCCAGATTGATCAACCAGAAGTGCCACCTACTGTCACACTTCACCAGTTGAGCTCGCACAACAAGCTCGATCGATCGATCGAACTCTAGCTCGATCGAGTCCGACCTCTTCTGTCCCTCAAACCGTTTTGCTTGATCCTTACCAACCAGTTGACTCCTCGTCCGCCTACTTAGTCAAGGTCACAAGGAAGTGATTCACAAGTTCAGAAGAGATCTCAGTGGGATTGGAATTGAGTTGCCTCCTATGGATAGCATGAGTGAGGCATTTGATCAAATGCAAATGGTCAAGGATGTTCTAGCCAACAGTGATAAAGTTTCAGAGGTCCTGAGAGTCTACTCATCAGTTCAACCTGCTTACTTCACCCACTTTCCTACCAAAGGTCAAGGATCAAGGGAAATTCACTCTCCCTTGCACACTTGGGCATCTTGAGCTTGACAATGCCTTAGTGGATTCTGGAGCAAGCATCAATCTGATCTCTCTCTCATGGCAGAGAAGCTAGGCATTGCTGGAGCCTTGCAGCGCCCTACTACTTCAATCATGTTTGGAGATGCAACTTCTAAGTCTCCTCTTGGAGTGTTCAAGAACTATCACTTGAAAATTGGAGAATGCATCATCCAAACTGATCTCACTGTGATGGAGATGGAAGAAGAGAAGGATCTACCTCTGTTATTGGGAACCCCATTCCTTAGTACAGTTGGCGCTTCAATAGACTTTCACAAGCAAGAAGTGATCCTTCACAAGGTGAATAGTTTGGTGTCATATCGCTTGCAGCCTAGAGGTTCAGACTTTTGTGCCACAATTGACAGTACCACTCTCAGTTCTAAGAGTCATGAGCTACAAAGGTTGTGAAGGAAAGGGTTGACAAAGAACCAAGAGTTGGGAAGGATAAGGTTGAGAGAGTTGACCAAGGATTGAGAAGCCACGTCTTGAGAGGGCTAGAGTTGAGAAACCACGTCTGATAGGCCACGAGCTGATAGAGAAGCACCCTTGTGTGCTTGATGAAGAGAGCCTTCAAGCTTTGTTTGATGAGCCACTAGGAAGGGCTCTAAAAGAAGGGGAGGATGTAGCCTCTAAGGCAAGACCAGTGATAAAAAGAAAGATCCACCAGCTCAGGCCCCTTCATCAAAAGCCATCTCAGCTCACAATGACCTTGTTCCCCACCAAGTTTGAAAATGGGAAGATTGAGTACAAGATAAGGTACAAGGGGAGATCAAGACCATTCTCTAGAGCCAAGGCCTTGGTCACTTCAGAACAGTCCAGGGACCCAACCAAGCTAAAGGAGCTTCTGTCTCAAGTCCTCACTATCACCCTTGATGGTGGGACTAGCTCAACCAATGCCTAAAAGGTAAAGGTCAAGCTATGGGACCTTAAACAAGCTCACTTGGGAGGAAGTCCCATGTTTATCCTTGTACATACTTTTTATGCAATTTCTCTATTTTAGTTTTGTGTCTTTAACCTTTCAATAAGTTAAGTTTAGGTGACAAAGGAGCCAGCTCGACCGACAGCTCGAGCTCGATCGAGCTAGAAACAAAGGGCAACTCGATCGAGTTCCACAACTCGACCAAGGTAAGTTTTTGAATTCAAATTTCAACCGTTTTCCTTGGTCAAGGGAGTGGGTCCCACAAGTTATTTTGGTCCCCCACTTCCTAAATCGATCAGAAAAACCCTAGCTTTTGTCCCCTCTTTATTCACCTTTTAATCTCAACCACACATCTCAAACACTCCCTCTTCCCCATAACTCGATCGGGCCCCCTTCTCCCTCTCTCCCACACTCTAAATTTTCTGAAAATCATCCATCTCTCTCATCACCACAAGAAAAATCCGAAATTCACTCTTTCTCTCTTAAGTTTTTGCGATTCTCTTGTTCATTATCTTGTTTGCTTTGGTTCTAGCTACTGTATTTCAATCATCATTCAAGCAAGGTATGAACCCTAAAACCCCTTGAATCATTCATCTCGATTCCTTTCTATTGCTTGTTTCTCTTTGATTTTTGTTGCATGTGTCCCTTGTGGATTGTTATTGAGTAATTGCCTTCATATCCTTCTCTATAGTTTTGTGAATTTGCCTCACCTCACCTCTGTTTTGCCTTTAAACTTGTTGCATGTGCTTGAATCCTTTGAATTTGAGTTTGGTATTGGTTAAGATGCTTTTGTTTTCACTAGAATTGCTTATTGTTCCAAGTTCTATGTTCTTGGTTCAATTTGATTGTTAGCATCCTTTCCAGCTCTTAATACTTGATTAGGTTCGGTTTTACTCTGTTTTCACTTAGCTCATCGAGTTTGTCACTCGAGTTTTTTGACTCGATCAAGCTGGGTGTCGAGCTGACCGAACCAGTGGTTCCAACTCTAATGACCCAATCAGCAGTGAGAGTGAATTGGGAGAATTCGAGATTGGGTTGAACCATGGAAAGGGAGAAAGTGATGACTCCTCAAATGAAGAAGGGAAGAGGTTAATCAAGAGATAGAAGGAAGTGAGCATGAGAGCAATGAGAATGTACCCATGGAGGAGGCTGAGTCAGAGGAAGAGGAGCATGAGCTCCCTATGTACCAAGAGCACTACAATGCTCTCTTTTCCATGGACTTTGTGGAGACCAAATACCCACATGATGACACAATGAGGGCTCTTGGGATCTTTGAGTATGTGGAGTTAGTCCTCAAGAACATGCGCTTGGGAAAATTCTTCTCTCATCGCATGGAGTCATACAAGGAGCTCACTTGTGACTTTTTGGCGTCGATGAGGTTTCACAAGTATGGTGAGTTCGATCGAGCTGAGTTGGACCTGGGGATGGATAACATTCTTGGCAAGAGGAGAAAGGAAGGTGATCACCTTCAGGCAGCTGGAGATCCTCTTTGGTTTCGCTTATGGAGAAGGAACCCATTGGGATATCAAGGAGAATGTGCTCCAAAGAGTGTGGGCTACAATTGCTGAGCCAGGATTCTCCTCTTCAAGATCCAAGGCTGCTCAGATAAGGAGCCCTATGCTAAGATATGTACACAAGGCCCTTACCAACACCTTCTTTGCAAGGAAGGCCACTGGTACAATCAATGAGGGAGAAGTGAAACTCCTTGACATGGGGATTAAGCCCATCATCTGACGCACAAAGGATGGGAAGAAGATCAGAGGAGATAGGATCCACGCAGAGAATCTCATGCCCCTCCTTGAGCAGCTACTCTCCTAGAAGATAACCGCCTATAGCACTCGGTTTCAACAAGGAAGAAAGCTTAGTGGTGGAGGGGTCATTACACCAATCCTATGTGCAGCCGGGGTCCAATTAGACAAGAGGAGGTCAACTCCAGCTGGATGGATGGATATCAAGTTGATAGACCCCTGATTATAGATCGGCAGTTTGAAGCAAGATTGGATGATGAAATGATGAAGGATGGAATGAAAACAAGATGGAATGGACTTGGGCGTTGTGGCAAGAAGATGGATGATCATGTTTAGTTTTAAATGCAGTTTTCCATTCATCACCTTCTTTCATCCTAATATGATGATAACCACTTTTTAAATCAATTTTAGAGAAAATGCTAGAACCATGCAACTCATCAAGCATATCATCAAGTTTAGGGATAGGATGTCGATACTTTACAGTGATATTGTTGAGCTAACATCTAGCGGTTTGGGATTTTCTAAACACTTAGGGAACTTTTCTTTTCTTTTTGACACTTGAGGCTTTGCCTTCTTTTCATTCTACTTAGAACCCTTTTTACTTCCTTTTTTAACTTCCCAAACCTTTACTAGACCCTTTTTAGCACTGCCAACTCCCTGGACTTAACTAAACTCTTTTTCCTTTGGGTTTTCCCAACTTTTACCACTTTTCTGGTTTTTACACCCAACTCGATCGAGCTCGAGTTGGCACCCCCAAACTTAGCCTGAAAACAATCCCAAGAGAACTAGACAACTAGAACTACTGCCCCTGCCGGTTTAAACACAACACCTTATGCTAAGCAAAGCCAAGAAAGGTTCTCACATTCGCACAAGAGATAATATGGGGTTTGAAATGAAAAGGCTTAGGTTTAAGGTGTGGTAACTGTCTCAAAGATGAGATCAGCTATCTGGACAAGCAAAAGGGATATGAAAGGTAAAGAATGTCCAGATATGTATGTGGTAGCCATGAGTTGAAATCAAATGCAAGCATTGGTAATTAAAGATCAAGTTATGGTTCAAATAGATAGGGAAATGCATCAAATCACAGCAATGGTTGAATGAGATGTGCATGCAGTGATATGATCAAGATAAACATGGTTCTTGCTGCTCAATCAATCTCACCCTAATGCACAAGAGAATCTAAAAACAGGGCACTCAAGAAATCGCAAAAGATGAACAAGTTTTCAAAGTCAAATCAACAATGCAAGTGAAAAATGCAATCCTAAACAAGTCTAACAAATATGAATGCAAAAAGATGAAAATATTTTTGGATTTTTTGAAAATTTTATGATTTTTTTGGTTTTTCTATGCAAAAGATGAATGAAAAACTAAGAACAAAGAAAACAAGGTTAAATCATCTCTTGAACCCTCCCCCAAACTTAAATCACACAGTCCCTTGTGTGAGAGAAATTTAGTGAAAGATTCAAGAGGGCAAAACCAAGAAAAACAAAACAAAGCAAGAAAATATGAAATGGTATATACAAGGGTTGGTGTTTGATACCTCAGTGCCCCCCAAAGAACTGGGAGGCAAGGTCGTGGTCTGGAGAGGGCAGACGGCCATCAGGAGCACTCCACTCGACTGGGTTGCCTCGCTCGATCGAGCTTGCTCTTGGCTCGATCGAGTTGTGCCTCGAGTTGGCTTTCCTTCCTAAAACCTGTTCCTGCAAGACTTAGCTGAGAAAACGCAGAGATAAAAGGATAAAGAAATATGTACAAGATAGACATGGGAATTCCTCCCAAGTGAGCTTGTTTTAGGTCTCATAGCTTGACCTTACCCCTTTTAGGCCGGGGTTGGATCTTCTAGAGGAGTGATGATCTCCTCTGTGGGGGTCATTCCTAGATATGGCTTGCATCTATGTCCATTCACTGTGAATTCCTTCCCCTCTTGATTGAGTAGAGTGAGGGATCCATAGGGCAAAACTTCGTGATCTTGAATGGTCCCGCCCACTTTGACCTTAGCTTCCCGGGAAACAACCTTAGCTTGGAGTTATACAAGAGCACACTGTCCCCAACCTTGAAGTCTTAAGGCGAATCAGTTTGTCATGGGCTGCCTTTGTTCTCATCTTATAGATCATGGAGTTCTCATAGGCATTCATTCTGATTTCTTCCAACTCAAACAAGTTCATTACTCTTCTCTCTTGTGCAGCCTTTATATCAAAGTTCAGCATCTTCACTGCCCATAGTGCCTTGTACTCTACCTCTACAGGTAAGTGGCAATCCTTTCCATACAGCAAGTTGAAAGGGGACCTTCCAATGGGGGTTTTGTAAGCTGTTCTATAGGCCCAAAGAGCTTCATCAAGTCTTGTGACCAATCCTTCCTAGTAAGCTCACTGTCTTCTCCAAGAATGGCCTTTATCTGTCTATTGGAGACCTCAACTTGCCCACTGGTTTGAGGATGGTAAGGTGTAGCGACCTTGTGCTTGACTCCATAACTCTTCATCAACTTCTCAAACACTTTATTGATGAAATGGGAACCTCCATCCGAAATAACAACCCTTGGGATGCCATATCTTGGAAAGATGATGGTTCTGAACAGTTTGATAACAACCTTAGCATCACAGGCTGGGCAGGGGATGGCTTCAATCCATTTGGACACATAGTCCACAGCAACCAGAATGTAGTTGTGCCCGTTTGAGGAAGGCTTGAAAGGTCCCATGAAGTCTATTCCCCATACATCAAAGATCTCAACTTCCAGAATTGGGTTTAGTGGCATTTCATCTCTCTTGGTGATACTTCCTTTCCTTTGGCATGGATCACACTTTGCGATGTAAGCTTGCTGCATCTTTAAACAAGGTAGGCCACCACAACCCAGATTGCAGAACCTTGTTGCTGTTTTGAATGTAGCAAAGTGACCTCCATAAGCTGACCCATGGCAATGCTCTAGAACTCCTTGTACATCCTCTTCAGCTATGCATCTCCTGTAAATGCTGTCTGGTCCTCTCTTGTACAAGTAAGGCTCATCCCAATAGTAATGCCTAGCATCCTTGAAGAATTTCTTCCTCTTGTAAGCATCAAAGCTACTAGGGACTTCTCCGGACACCATGAAGTTCACTATATCAGCATACCATGGCAAATTCTCATCACGCAGAGCCTTAACTTCTTCCAGCCTGACTTTCTCATCAAAACTCTCCTTCAAGATCATGATTGCCATAAGCTGTTCTTCAGGCATAGAATCATTGATGGGGATCATGTCTTCAACTCGCATCCTAGAGAGATGATCAGCAACTCCATTTTCTACTCCCTTTTTGTCCACAACTTCTATGTCAAACTCTTGAAGCAAAAGGATCCATCTGAGAAGTCTTGGCTTTGTATCTTTCTTAGCGAAGATGTGCCTAAGGGCAGCATGGTCAGTGTGCACAATCACCTTGGACCCAACTATATAGCTTCGAAATTTCTCAAAGGCAAAGACTATGGCAAGGAGTTCCTTCTCTGTGGTTGCATACTTGCACTGAGCATCATCCATAGTCTTGCTTGCATAGTAGATGACATTGAGTTTCTTGTCTATCTTTTGGCCAAGCACTGCTCCTACTGCATAGTCAGATGCATCACACATAATCTCAAATGGGTGATCCCAGTTTGGAGCTTGAACTATTGGCGCAGATACCAGAGCATCCTTCAGCAAGGTCCAAGACTTGTGGCATTCTTCATCAAACTCAAAATCTGTCTCCTTGCACAGAAGCCTTGTCAAGGGTCTTGCTATCTTTGAGAAATCCTTGATGAATCTTCTGTAGAACCCTGCATGACCCAGAAAACTCCTGATGTCCTTCACAGTCTTGGGAACAGGGAGCTGCAACATGACATCCACCTTAGCTCGATCGAGCTCGATCCCTTTCTCGGAAATCTTGTGTCCAAGCACAATCCCTTCTCGAACCATGAAGTGGCACTTCTCCCAGTTGAGTACTAGATTGTCTCCTCACACCTCTGCAACACCCTGCACAAGTTAGACAAACATGAGGAGAAGGATGCTCCATAGACTGAGAAATCGTCCATGAAGACTTCTACCATCTCCTCTATCAGATCTGAAAAAATGGAGGTCATGCACCTCTGGAAAGTAGCTGGGGCATTGCACAGCCCAAATGGCATCCTTCGATAAGCAAAGGTGCCATAAGGGCATGTGAAAGTGGTCTTCTCCTGATCATTAGGGTGGATCGGGATTTGGAAGAAACCACTGTAGCCATCAAGAAAACAATAAAAAGGGTGGTTTGCCAATCTTTCTAACATCTGATCAATGAAAGGGAGAGGGAAATGATCCTTTCTAGATGCTGAATTTAGCTTCCTATAGTCAATACACATGCGATGCCCCACTATTGTTCTAGTGGGAATCAGCTCCTCTTTGTCGTTTTTAATGACAGTGATCCCCCCTTTCTTTGGGACGCAATGAACTGGAGATATCCAAGTGCTATCACTGATGGGATAGATTATCCCAGCATCAAGCAACTTGAGTATCTCTTTCTTCACTACTTCCTTTAGATTGGGGTTCAATCTCCTCTGAGGTTCAATGCTTGACTTACTTTCATCCTCTAGATGAATCCTATGGATGCATAGGTCAGGGGAGATCCCCTTGATATCATCTAGAGTGTAACCTATTGCCTTTCTGTACTTCCTCAATTCAACAAGCAAAGCACTCAACTGTTCAGGTTCCAAATCAGAGTTCACAATGACAGGGTAAGTTGAGTTTTCACCCAGAAATGCATACCTGAGGCCCTCAGGCAAAGGTTTGAGGTCGACTTTAGGCGCCTTGAGCTCAGACCAATCTCCTTGAGCTTGTCCTTGCATTCAGTCCCCAGCTCGATCGAGTTGTTTGTTCGAGCCGACTCGATCGAGTTCTTGATCGAGCTCACTGCCATGACTTCGCAAACTGGCCTGTCCAACCCTCAATGCTCAGAATGTTTGGAACTGGTCTGAAGGTGTCAAGGAGCTTCTTGTACTCATCAGTTTCTGAGCTCACATATCCTTCTGAAGAATCCTTGGTCAAAGCAACTTGTAGGGATCCTCTGTTGATAACTCTTCTAAAAGCTCATCTGCCAACTGATCCATTTCCTCAACATAAAAGAGCTGACCTTCTATAGTTGGTTTCCTCATTGTATCCTTGATATCAAACTTCATCCTTAGGTCCTTTCCCAAGTTTAGCTCAATTGTTCCTTCACAGACATCTATCATTGCTCTTGCTGTAGCTAGGAATGGCCTTCCTAGTATCAATGGATCTGTTGGTTCCTCATCCATCTCAAGCACAATGAAGTCGGTGGGGATTTCTACATTCCCTATCCTCAAAGGCAGGTCTTCAAGCATTCCAGTTGGTAACCTTATCGATCTATCTGCCAAGACTAGTGAGATTCCGCAGGCTTGGTACTTGTGATATCCCAGTCTCTTTGCTACAGACAAAGGCATGAGGCTGACAGATGATCCTAGATCGCAGAGGCTGTTTTTGAAAGATAGGGGTCCCAACATGCAGGGCAAAGTGAAACTCCCCGGATCTTCCTTTTTGTCGGAGATGACCTTCCGCTGAATGATTGCACTGCACTCACGAGTCAACACTACCATCCCTTGTGCTTCCCTGGTTCTTTGCTGAACAGCATCCTTCAGAAATTTCTGATAAGGTGGAATGAGCATCAAGGCGTCGATGAAAGGCAACTTCAGCTCAAGCTGTCTCATTAGTTCATCAAACTTGGCCTTGTGTGCTTCCAACAGTTGTTTCTTGAACCTTCCTGGAAAGGGCAGAGGGGGTTTGTATGGTGGTGGTCCTGCTGGAGTGTCTTTCTTCTTTGCAACAGGTTTAGCTGGTTGGCTGGAGCTTGCTTTGTCTGTTCTCTTCTCAGCTCGATCGAGCTCTGGTTTGTCTTGCAGTCTCGGTTTCTCCAGCTCGATCGAGTTCTGGTTCAGGGTTTTGTTCCAGCTCGATCGAGTTCGGTGCCGGGAGTCAGCATACTCGACTAAATCCTCCCCTTCCTCGTCATCGATGTCCACAGCGATTTGGGGTGGGCTACCTCTGCTTGGAATTGTCGCCCACTTCTTAGTGTAACTGCTTGGGCATACTCTTGTGGTGAAGAGGATGATGCACTTGAAGACTCAATGATTTGGACTCTTGAAGTCAATGACTCTAGTTTAGAGTTATCTCAACCAGCTTGTTGTTCATTTCCAGAGAACCTTTGGCTTGCCCTTGTAAGGAGTTGTTGGAGCATATCCTTCATATCCCAATCTTGGCTTGGTTTGGGTATGGCATTGGTGAATCCTGGTGGAAACTTGGAGGTGCCCTTGCTGGTTGGATCTGTGTGGATTGTTGTAAGCCCTGCCTGGTATGTGTGACCATAGATGGTTTTCCTTTTTGAGTGCTTGTATGTTGTTGCTCCTCCCCTTCCTGTTTCATAGCCTAGTTGTTCTGAGATAGAGCTGCTTGGCAGGGAATTGGGCTAGGATCAGTTTGTCCAACTTCGAGAGTGCAAGCATGTCTTTTCTCATCTGGCTCCAGCTCGATCGAGTGCGGTCGAGCTCCAGTCTGCTATCATAATTGTCTCCATAGCATTCTGTTGAGATGGCCATGTTCTCCACAAGTTGCCAGCCATCATCTACATCCTGGTTGAGGAAGTTCCCATTGCTAGCTGTGTCTAGCATCTCCCTATACCTTGCAAGCATCCTCTATAAAGAGTGGAGAGTAGTGATTCATTGTTGAATCCATGGTGTGGGCACTGACTTGTGTACCCTTTGAACCTCTCCCAAGCCTCTGCGAATGTCTCATTGTTTCGCTGGATGAAGCTGGATATCTCTCCTCTAAGCTTGGCTGTGCGACCGGTGGAGAAAAACTTAGCAAGAAAGGCCTTCTTGCATTCATCCCAAGTGGTGATTGTGCCATGGGGCAAGCTCTTCTCCCATTGGTGAGCTTTGTCAGCTAGAGACATAGGAAAGAGTCTCAGCTTGATGGCATCTTCAGAGACACCATTGATCTTTGTCAAATCACAAAGCCTATCAAACTCATCAAGGTGGTCAATGGGGTCTTCACTTGGCAATCCATGGAACATCTTGTTCTGAACAAGGTTGATCATTCCCAGCTTGATCTCAAAGTTGTGGTTCTGCACTGGTGGTGGAACAATCCCTTGTCTCTGTTGGTGGCGGTTTGGAGCATCTCCTTGACCAATCGGTCGAGTTTGCCTAGCTCGACCGAGTCCATTGCCCAAAGGGTTTCCATTCCCCTCTGGTACATCCATTGTATCAGCAACAAGCACCTCAGGTTCCTCTTGTACCCTCTGTGACCTCTGAACCCTCTTTCTACCCGTTGTAAAGTCTAGCTCGACCAAGTCCTCTGTAGACCGACTCGATCGAGTTCGCATACACCTGCAAAAAGAGACAAAAACCCAGCAGTACAATAGAACAGGGGTGGTATAGCTTGATCGTCCAAGTGTGTTTGAAACTCAAATGCAACAAAAATAATCCCAAATCGGCAACGGCGCCAAATTGATGATAGGATTTTGTGTGGATGTGAATGATATGAATGAAATGATAAGATATGAGGTGGAATGCAAACAGGGTGAATAAAGATGAAATGGTGCAATCACAATCAATCAATTCCTCTTAACCATCATAGTCAAGTAGTAAAGAGGTTATCAATCCAAAATGGGAAACTTGTCACTCTATGAGAATATGAAACACAAGAAAGTCAAGCAAGCAGTAATAGATTTGAGGTAACACTAACAACCTAAAAATGAAATGCAATGCAGAAATAGAAATAAAGCAGTAGAGCAACAGCTCGACCAAGGACTCGAGTCGAGTTGGAACAGAGTACCGAGCTCGATCGAGTTTAGGGTCGAGTTGAAGTAAAAAGCATAAAGGCAGCGACTTTAACAAGCTAGAACGAACAATTAGGGTCTAAGACAGGGTTTACAATCAGAGGAAGGCTATACTTAATCGATCTTGCTCTCAAACAACTTGTATCAAGGTATCTCTTGATATTGAGCTTCTCAATGCCTAGCTAACCCTTTCCCAAGGTGAAAGCTATCAACCAAGACTTGATCTCAGAAACAGGGGGTTAGCCAGTGAGAATCAAGCCTTGGAGGCCATAGGATCATTGCTCAAACTAATCCATCCAACCCCTTAGACCTCTATTTCTAGAGCAAGAGATATTGGAGCTCTTAGTGGACCTTTTCCAACGATTTCCATCACTTCCATGTGGAGAATCGCCTATGGACATACAAGCCAGGGGTAGTGGTCATGTAGCCTTAAGATTTGTCCAAAAGAGAGAGATTTCTAGATTAAGAACATAAGCAAGAAGGATTAAGCATAAAACCTCTAATCTATCCCATCAACCTTGTCCAGAACAAGATGTTCCATGGATTGCCAAGTGAAGACCCCATTGACCACCTTGATGAGTTTGATAGGCTTTGTGATTTGACAAAGATCAATGGTGTCTCTGAAGATGCCATCAAGCTGAGACTCTTTCCTATGTCTCTAGCTGACAAAGCTCACCAATGGGAGAAGAGCTTGCCCCATGGCACAATCACCACTTGGGATGAATGCAAGAAGGCCTTTCTTGCTAAGTTTTTCTCCACCGGTCGCACAGCCAAGCTTAGAGGAGAGATATCCAGCTTCATCCAGCGAAACAATGAGACATTCGCAGAGGCTTGGGAGAGGTTCAAAGGGCTACACAAGTCAGTGCCCACACCATGGGTTCAACAATGAATCACTACTCTCCACTCTTTATAGAGGATGCTTGCCTAGGTATAGGGAGATGCTAGACACAGCTAGCAATGGGAACTTCCTCAACCAGGATGTAGATGATGGCTGGCAACTTGTGGAGAACATAGCTAACTCAAATGGAAGCTATGGAGAAGAGTATGATCGCACCAACCGGAGCTCGACCCACCACTCGATCGAGTCAGACGAAAAGTTGAGAAAAGATGTTAAGGCATTGAATGAGAAGTTGGATAAGCTGATCCTAGCTCAGTCCACAATGAAGAAAGTCAACTTTGTGTCTGCTGAGGAGATGGAACCAGTCCAAGAAGGGGAGGATACACAATTTGCTGAGGTGTGCTACATGAGCAATGGGCAAGGAGGTTACAACAAAGGATACTATAATTACAAGTCCAACCCTGCCATGTCATACCGCAACACTGATGTTGCTAACCCTCAGGACCAAGTCTATCCTCAACAACAAGCAGCTCGATCGAGTCAAGGCCACAACATGGGTATGGTCAAAAGAACAATTACCAAGGACCACAAGGCACTTTCCCTGGACAACAAATGAATATCCCACCAGGCTTCCCCCACCAACCACCCCAGCCTGCACCTTCACAAGAGAATGAGCTCAAGGCAATGCTAAAGCAACTACTTCAAGGGCAAGCTGATGGGGTAGTGGACACAAGCAAGAAGCTAGCTGAAATAAACTCTAAGATCGAGAACCTCAACACAAGGGTTTACTCTCTGGAGAA